AAGAAAACAAAAAAAGAAAAAGACACATTTTTAAAGAAAAGTCCAGGCATGGTTGCCTGCAAGTTCAGTACTGTACTGTCAAGGGGAAATGAAAGAGTCTTATCCTATTCACTTACAGGTTTGATTTTGAGGTTGAGCTGTCTTCCATCTGCTCCCCTTCCTCCCTCCTCTCCTCCCATCTTCTCTCTTTCTCTCCTCTGTCTCTGTCTCTGTCTCTCTCTCTCTCTCTCTCTCTCTCTCTCTCTCTCTCACACACACACACACACACACACACACACACACACGAGGATCCCTAATCAAATCTCAAGGTTTGTTAATAGAAATGCTTGTTAAATAAAAGGAAGAAAGGTGAATTTTTATATCCATTTTAGGAAGAATATAGGTAAATAACATTATTCTGAGCAGTTTTCAAACAGTTTTGAATTTGCATCTTTAGCTAAAAAAGAACATAAGAATGTGCTTCCTTGCATGCCTGTCTACTTTTTTCCATTTATAAAAAAGGGAAATTAACCTGGCATGAACTCCTGGGAACCCATAGGCATTTTGTGGTTATTCCATACATATAATTTTCTTTTAATGTATGTATCTCTATAGTTTAGGAGAGATGGAATAACGAGGATCTCAGTTAAACAATGACTAATTCTCAGAGAAATCATCTTCTAACTACCATTCCTTTATTTTGCACTGGTGGAATAGAAGCTTTACTAGAAGTAAGACTGAAAACACTTTATATTTTCTGTGTCTTCTAAGACCAGTGTTTTCAGAATGATCTAACTGCTGGTGGAGCTGTCTGTCCTTGTGGTGTATTTGGGCTAGACTCCAGCCCAATACTCCATTTTATATACCAACTATTTAATTATTAAAATGCACCCTGAAATGTATGTAAATAATATCAAAAGGGAGCCATTCTTTTATAAATGAGGATATTATCAAATTATCAACTTGAGAAATTCAGTCATTTTATGGCTTAAGAAATGGAAGGGAAGGAATTATTGAAAACATTTTTATGAGACATCTGTACAGGTTTAGTGTACTCCTCTACATAACCCAATGAAATGGAAAGTGTACCAAACGTATCCTTTCTTTTGGTTGTCAAAGCCAGCTTTAATTTTTATAAAAACTTGCAAATAAATGCTACATTTGTACAGTTGTCTCTGGAAGTAGAATCTATCTTGCTTAAATGTAATAACGTTGAAGGGTAATATGTGATGAAATCCTACTGAACACATTTTCCTCATGTCAAATTTTCTCACTTTTAAAAATAATTATGTCTTTGTTGTGTTGTGTGTCCCTCCCCCATGCTGCAACCCCTGCTTTCACTATATATGATGTTGGTATATGTGGAGGGGAAGGGAAAAAACAAATTGTTAAAACAGGGATACAGGAGGACCCATTGCAACAATGAGATGTACGAGTCGTTATGTCGAAAAACGAACTTTACAACTTTAGTGGGGGGGGGGAGGGGGGAGGATATGAAGTGATGGGAAGGGGAAACAAAGCAGGAGGCTACAATGTTTGATAAGAAATGTGCTCATTATCTTACACATGTAATTGTAACCCCTATGTAGTATTTTCACAATAAAAATATATTTAAAAATTATCATGTCAACAAAATAATGCTTACCTATACAATTATTTTTAGCAGCATGACTCAGTTATATGAGCATTATTGCAATACAAAAATCTTTCAAGATTTCTTTCTTGGAGTATCTTTCAAGGCTTAATACTAAGAGAAGCATATAAAGATATCCACAAAGAACATTATTTTTCTCAAAACTAGCCATCTGGATCATGTCGTTTTTATCTTTGATATTTATACAGTTCAATTTATTATCCTTGTTTTTTTAAGGGAGATATTTTGAAAAGTAATTGCATATTTGGTTACTTAATAGAATTGTTCTTTCCATCTGGAAAGAATGAGATAGGGAGTCAGAAATCTGATTTGCATATAACAGTTTTGGAGAAAATTAGAACTAGTCTCTACTACTACGTGGCTTCACTGGGGGAGGGGCAAGGGATGCAATATACATTTTATTCATTTTTATTTATTGTGAAAATACCGTACAGAGGGGTTACAATCACACAAGCAAGGTAATGAGTACATTTCTTATCAAGCATTGTTGCCTCCTCCTTTGTTTCCCCTTCCCATCCCTTCCTATCTCTCCCAAGCCCATGAGAATGTAAGGAAAAGTCTTTGCAAATCTCTGGACCTACCTATGAATAGAGAACTTCAGTACAGACAGGCTGTAAAATCATCCTAGCAAATTAATCTCTCCTTTTCCCAGTACATTCTTGGATTTGACTGGGTATATCTGATTTGTAGTCAATAAATTAAGAAGGATAGGTTGTATTAGCTTCAAACTTGGCTTAGTAATGCTGGAGTTAAATAATATCTTTGAGTGTTTTTCCAGACCAAGAACACAAGACTCGTAGAGAAGCATTTGACCCACCCATATTTCTTTTTGGTTTTCTACATATTACTACATATTGGTTTTCTGAAATTTACACACCTCATCTTTATAAAAACTTCGAGGCTGGAGATATGTATGTTCTTGCTCTTCCCAAGCGATACCTGCATATCCTGATAGAACAGAAGCCTAGGTTGGTGGGCACTAACGCTCGACTCATAGCATAATAAAATAAATAGTACAGCTATAGTATGTAACTGCAGCTATCCCAAACCTTTTCAGAGATAGCATTCAATGTTTAATGACCTTTTTCTAGGTCAAATGTATTTTCTTTTGACAAGTTCACTTTCAGAGGAAAGTACAGCACCATCATTTGCAGCTTGAACCTGTTGCTAGAGTAGGTAATAGCAGGCATCACTTAGGGTAAATGAGTCTCATGGGAGTGGCCAATAGAAGAATTCCAAAGATGGGTAGTAGGGAAAGAAAGGAAAGGTATAAATTTGAAGTGATTTTTTCCCCAAATATAAATAATAAAAAACAACAATGATTTATATGACCACTGCCCTTTAGAAGATTGAATTAGAGGATCTTTGACAAAACTGAAAATTTAGAGTGTCTGAAGCTTTTTGGACATCTTGGTAGTCCGAGAGAAGACAGTCACAGAAAGATACTTACCATTTCTTGTGAGCTGGGGAGTAGAAACTCTCTCCCTTGGGAATCCCACTACTCAGGGGTTGCTCCTTCTATAGACATCATGCTGTCTGCTTTGGGGTATGGTTAGCCATAGCCTGATAAAACTTTGAAAAAACCCTGTAATATTTAATTTTTCAGTTGTCTACTCTTCCCCTGCTATCAGTGTAGGATACCTTCAGGATCACTCAGTATTCAGAATGTGCTGAGGGGATGTGATGACAATGAATTTGACAACAAGGGATACATGCATGATAGAAAAGAACAGCAGAAATACAGTCCATGAACAAAATTTAAAAGCTAATGAATCCATTCCTATGGTCATGTGTCTGTAACACAAATAGGACTTTATGTCTTCTGCACAATAGATTCACTTTTTTGAAAAAAAATTGAATTTCCTAGCTGATCTTTGCTCAGGTTTACCAACAGGTAACATGACTTGGCCAAGGGAAGTATTTATGACAAAGAAAACTGAATGCCAGTTGAAGGTCAGGATGAGAGACAGGGTTGTATATTCTCAACCACAAAGTGATGACATGTTCTCCAAGTCTTGAAACTAAACTTAGAGCTTGTTCTGGAGGCAGCTGCTCATGATAAGCGACCAAAACTCAAAATCAAAGGAAATTCCACATCTCCAGTTCCCAAAGTGTGAAAGAAGTCTTCACGGGGCTGAAATGAACTCTTGATGAAGGCAAGTTTTGCCATTGTCAGAAAATGGAAGCCTTCTTATCTACCAAGGAAATGTTTCTAGTTTCTCCAACAAAGCACTCAGATATGGGCAGAACAAAGCTGTCAGTCTCACCTTATTTTGATATCTAAAGGATCAGGGGCCTTGAGCTGTGCAATCACCAATGGATTATGCCTAGTACACAGAAGACAGTGTGGCTGTTATGTCCATGGAGAGAGGGTGTCACACCATCTGATAGCAAAGTTCTATCAAGTCTTCACTGGTGGAAAGATTGAATCAGAATCATTGAATAAGTTCATGTTTGCTCATTGTCACTGAGACAGCTTACTTTGCTAGTGGTCATGGGCACCCTAGCTATTGAATTCCTCATCTTGCTCTTTATTTATGAAGTAAATACTGGCTACTAATTTTGTGTTAAACCAAATATTGTACCCAGGAAGCATATTCATTGTTTGAATCAAGAAAACACTTTAATTGTTCCTTATTAGTACATTATTTATATAATGATAAAGGAAGGATTCTATGGAAAAGTTTAAAGCTATTCAGATGTATAAAGTATCATTTTCCTGTATCTGATACCTAGGTTCTATTATATTAACAGTTTGTATTTTTCCCCTACAAGTATTTATTTCATTTTTTGTTGCCACCCCTTCCTATTCTGTTTTGATTATAGAGACATGAAATCAATAACATAATTTAGATAGTCAGAATAAGACAGGAAGAAGTTCTATTGGCAATTAAAGGGGATGTAGTATAAAAAGCCCAATTAGTTGAGCATCCACTGGAAGGCAACTACATTCCCAATGGTTATTTGGGACTTGAGGTTAATACCCTGCATGCTAAACTATTACCTGACCTGTACCTATTTTAGTTTATGTTCTGGGATACACAAAGAAGGAATAGAGAGCTATCCTCAAAGATTGTAAAAAGGATTGGTGAAATGGAGGGAACATTTATCCTAACTTTTGTAAGATAGACAAATTTGCTGACATTGTATTTTCTTGGGACATTAAAAAGAATGTTGGATGGGTACAGAGCTGACATTTGGAAGAGCTTGCACACCCAGTGTCTACTTTCTTTTGCATAAGCGTATCAACTGCACAGTAATATCTTTGTGGTCTTTATTTCTTCAGAACATGGAAACAAAAGAAATGAAGTAGATGACAATGAGGAGAAAACATTCTGTAGTACAGATAATGCGGCATCACTAGTGATTAGATCATAAACAATTAGAAACTTTATTTTTCTGTGTCAATAATGTGTACCATTTATAAGGAACAGCACAATTAGTGCACTTCCCCCCCCCAAAGCTGTGCACAATAAACACAAAATAAAATAATCAAACAAAATGAAATAATTTTACACAACTATAATAATTAATAACAACCCTGGACAACCAGAATCATATTTTCCCTATAGTTACGAAACTTGAAAAGGCAAACAAAATGAAAAGTTTTGAAACTGAAATTGATCAATAGTAAGAAATCTCTTAAACTCCTCTGTAAAGATTGACTACAGGGTTATTGACATTTCAAATATGGCTAAAAATGAGTGAGAGGAAATCTTTCTAGTGTTTAAACAACTTATATGCCTTGACTATTTTTATTCGATGTTTCTAGACTAGCCACCATTTTTTAAAATCTCAAACAAGAAAAAAGAGTTAGAATGGGCCCCCAAAGTAGTCACCAGTATTGGGAAGGGCAATGGCAGGTCAGGAATGGGTCACAGAAAAGGACTTTTGCCACAGAGAGAAAAGTTAGGAGTATCTGCACCTTCTCAGTGATGTGTATCATCAACATGATTGCCCTTCTTGGTTTAAACTGGGTAGAGATGTACATTTCTTCAAGTTGGTCAAACAAAACCCTTACCCTCTTTTAAAAAGTGTCTTGGATATTTAGGCAGCTGAATTTGTTCAGTTTTAGTGTGTTTGTGTTGAGTTTCATAATTTTTTTCTGTTTGCTTGACAAAACTATTTCAATGTAGCTATGCTAACTTGTACTCATCAATGTGGCAATCACACTCACTGAGTAAATATCCCTGGAGACCAGGAATCCAGGCTGTCTTAGTTATGATCCAGGCATTGGGAGGTTGCACACGATCTGGCATACTGACTTGGCAACCGCTGCTTCATTGTTCACTCAATCTCTAAATGCGTATTGAAAGGATGAATGGTCATGATTACTGCATGGAAGAGTGAGAAAAGAAGTCTCAAGGGCTTATTCTGAAGTATTTTTGAATCAGAATGGAGGACCAGGAATGCCTCCTGCCTGGGACTCCTTAGAGGTGAAGAAGTCTGAGAGGTGAGCACTCATTCCTTAGCTCCTCACTGGTAGAATCATTACTTTGGGATGTTGCGTTTGTCCAGCTCTTTGGTATTCTGACATAGAAAGAGCCATTCATTTTCAAGGGTTAAACCTATCTTCTGCAATCCTCCTGGAAGGTACTAATCTCATTGGATGGCCTTCTCTTTATCGTAAGTAGAGGAGACATATTTTGAAAGGCCCATTGGTCACTCTGGCTTCATTTTTACTCAGGGACTACTGACAAATTCAGAGGGATCTGGACTGGATAGGACAAGAAAGAGGGCTCAAAATAGTCTTTTACATGAAAGAATAAAATGAAATGAACAAACTAGCACTATCATCTGTGCCAGACAGAGCAGATGTGCAATAAATACTTGGGGGAACAGGGTGTTTGGGAACAGTGGCTCTGAAGATCCAGGCTCATCTAATGCATCCACTTCTCTCCAGTGCTTTTTTTTCTTTGGCCTACCTGTATTTATAGGTGGTTATGAGAGACCTCTGATGTGTTCCACATGGCTAATCTTCTGTGGGGAGCTTGGCAGCTGGCCTGCTATCCCCTCAATTGCATTAACATCTTCCACGTGACAGTTATTGCTTCTTAGATACAAGTGTGCAGATTCATGGATAGTAAGCCATTTTCTTCTTCTATCCCTAGTAATACTCAAACTCAGTAACAACACAAAAGTAACAACTCAGGTGAAAAGAAAAACTCATTTATGTCTTCAATGTCCCATCAACATTGCTGAATGAGAGGATGGTATTTTCTATACTCTACTATATACAGATAACGCATTGTTTTATTTATTTTTTTTCATCCATGCACTGTGTAACAAGTATCACAACAACATTCCCAAACAGGCACATGAAGAAGGAGCAAATGTTTAGTCATGAGTGCAACAGGACTGGGCAAGCTATGGATGCCTTACAAAAATAAAACTGATGGACACATCCCAGGCAACAGCATTGTGGGGCTGGAACACATACTGATGCGAATGGAAAAGGATGATAGTCTTTCTGTTTGCACAGAGCAGGGTAGGGAGGAGGAGGAGGATTGAAATGGGACACCTGGCGGGTTAGCTGGAAGGAATAAGGGCCTTGGCTCATCACAGTCCAGAGCTTAGAGATCAGAAAGGAAGGGTTTTTGCCTGTTTCTGGGAATCTAGGCACATTATCCTTGTACCTGTTGAACAAGCGTGCCAGGCACCATATCCTAGAGATCTAGACTCTAGAACGGTGGCTTCCTGGCTCCATTCCTGCTCCCATGCTTCTTCTCAGAGGCAGCTTCGTCTCTAAGCACATCCAGGAAACAATTGAGAAGTTTGGTAATATAGTGTAGAACACATCCTTCTTCTATGCCCAGATTCTTTCTTAATCCAAAGTAATGGACAAGTGTTTGGAAGAGGTGAGGAGACTCTTAATGATTTCAAATTTTATGTCAAGCCCATGTATCTTTGGATGGGTCATCATGTTTCATAAGGAGAAACAAGAACCTTGACCCTCCCAACACAAACAATGCAAAGCAGAAACAAAACAAAACAGAAACAAAAGTTGAACATCAGAACATCAGGTACCTCCCCAACCCCACTGAAAACAAAATTAAAAACAAGAAAACAACCCAAAACCTTAGCCATTTCTGAACCTAGAGAGCGTACAGCCCTTTTAGACAGAGCTGCAAGATGGCCCTGCCTCCACATCTTGTTCAACATGACGATGCCCCGGGAATGGGAGGTGATGGTTTCTGACTTCGGCCCTAGTACAGAGTATGCTCTTGAAGCTGGATTCCATCAGCAGGTAAGTGAACATGACAAATGTCAGTTTCCTCTGTTCATTGTACATAATTTTATGTATATATATGTATATATATAAAGTTACTATATCTGATTGTTCCTTTAGAAGCCTTTTATGTGGCAGTAGGCCTCCAGGGAGGAGAATAAAATGTACAAGAACCACAGGAGCACAAAGAGGCTGGAAGTCATGATCTTGGCAATCCGGGGCCCACCCAGCTCACCTCCGATCTCTGGCCTCCGTCGATACAGCAGCACCCCCACATTGATGAAAGCAAAAATGGTGAAGAGAGTGACAGAGAAAGCTAGCGTGCCGGGAGACACTTTGAACTGTTCCCCATTGGTCGCATGGTAGATGGCAGCAATAGACCAGGCCACGCCGATTCCCAGAAAGACATTCACCGCATTGCTGCCAGTGACGTTACCTATGGACGCATCTGCATACTGGTCCTGGATGGCTGCCACTTTGCTGGCGAATGTGTCTGTAAAGAAAGAAGAAAGAAGGTGATGATGCTCCACCTCCTAAAGATGTTCATGGACGGTTGGGAGCTTTAACTGTGTAGCTTAGATTCAAACCCGGTTTACAAACCCAGTGACCTACCGCGAACTTCCCTGTTCCTTTGAGTCAGTATCAGGAACCAAGTGTGACTGACAGAGAAAAATGATGCTAGTCAAGTTCTTTGTCAGCTCATACCATAATTCTTTGTATGAGGAGCTAGCAGGATAGTATTTTTTTTTTCAAAGCATAATCACAGCCTAGCAACTCCAGAATCGAGTGGGGCTCTCTTGAAAGCTGAATATTACAAGACTCTATCCCACTGTGCTGGGACATAATCCCTGAGGCCCAGAAATCTATTTTAGTAACATCCCTAAAGATTCTAGGTCACTACAGGTTGAAAGCAAAAGGTTGAGGATGATTTCTGAGAGATGCTGTATCAGCAGTTGGCATTGGGAGAGATTTCCAACGACTCAAAAAGCAAGTCAGTAGTGGAATGGAAAAGAATCAAACTCGAATAGCAAGTGACATTTGCCTAGCAACAGGAAAGCAGTTCACCTATGTTCCCACATTTGCTGCTATGATGATTCTATGACATGAGGAGTCTTGGCTTAGAGATGGTAAGGAGTAGAAACAACACTCCACAAGTAAGGAGATGCAAAGGCAGCACTGCAGCTCTAGCCTGTTGTCTTCAAGACTTAGGCTTGTTAACTGTGATTCCTTACCTTTTACTGTGCCTCAAGTACCAATGCCATAGGGACCAAGGAACATCCTCAACGCTCACCATTACTCCTGAATGTGTCTCTTGGTGAAGTGAGAAAAGTCGTTGGTTTGCCACAGGAGGTAAAGCACAGCAGTTTCAGATCCGCCATCACCAGACTGTGTGTCTGAGGACGAACTCACTTCCTAATCTCTGAGATGGGGATGCTAATTCTCCACTTCAGCTTATTACTGTTAAACTGAAATGTTCCAGGAGAAGTGCTTGTTGGTAAGAGTTTAGCTCTTTTTGTGGTTTTTTGGAAAGATAATGTAAAAAGAGTAATCTGGATTAGTTTAATGCTGGGGCAGGACAGGAAATTCCATTAGGCATGAAAACAGAACTTGCAGGGAACTCCTTTTCTTACCTATGTGATGACTAGTTACTGACATCCATTTCCTTTCAGCTAGTTTTTTCAAAATGCCTTGTGCAGTAGGCTTACAGATGTTAACAATGGTCAAGGTGAACTCACATCTGCAAAGCCAGTAATAGCAAGTAGTACAGAACTCCCAAATGCGGCATCATCTACTCTCATCTTCCTGAGGCTCCTGGCATGTTCTGTGCCCCAATATACAGCTGTATAATACCTGATGAGATTTTTCTCTTTGCTGCTCTTATTTTTGCCACACCCAGTCCTGGTAAGCCTCCAATGCATCCAAAACTTCTAACTCTGGGACTATCTAGGGGGGGCATAAGGGGAAAAGAGAGGAAAAAAAGTGGATGGTGAATAAATTCTAAGTATATTGAAACTATGAACGAAGATGGCAAAAAGAAACTCAAGAAAAAACTTGCACCCATGGGCTGGGAAGGTGGCTCAGTGGTAGAGCGCTTGCCTTGCATGCTCGAGGCCCTGGGTTCGATTCCTCAGCACCACGTAAGCAAAAAGAAAGAAAAAGCCGGAAGTGGCGCTGTGGCTCAAGTGGTAGAGCGCTAGCCTTGAGCTGAAGAGCTGAGGGACAGCGCCCAGGCCCAAAGTTCAGGCCCCATGACCGGACCCAAAAAAAAAAAAAAAACTTGCACCCAAAAGGTGCAAGTTCATACCATCTGTAGACTCTCTGTTTATGACGAGTAAGAAGGTGACGTAGGTTGATGAGAGGCTATGTGATAAGATGTTCTTTCTGAAAGGAAGTTGGTCAGCCTTGGAGGCCTGCCTATCTCATGGACTCTGACCACTATCTGGGATGGATAGCAGATTGTATGCCCCTTTTATAAAGAAATGGAAACAATGAAGATCTGGTACATTCATGTCAGAAAGGTATAAAATGATGTTATGTGGAGAAAAACAGATGGAGGGCTGGGAAGGTGGCTCAGTGGTAGAGCGCTTGCCTTGCACGCATGAGGCCCTGGGTTTGATTCCTCAGCACCACATAAGTAAAAAGAAAAAAGCCGGAAGTGGCGCTGTGGTTCAAGTGGTAGAGCGCTAGCCTTGAGCTGAAGAGCTGAGGGACAGCGCCCAGGCCCAGAGTTCAGGCCCCACGACTGGACCAAAAAAAAAAAAAAAAAGAAAAACAGATGGAACTGGGGTTTATTCTGTTGCACAAGATGAGACAAACTTTTAAGTTTTTGACTTTAACACCAAATATTGGGTGTTTTCCCTCATTTGTGAAAGCTAGACCTAAAGACATGATTCTAACTCTGGGACTATCTAGGGGCATAAGGGGAAAGAGAGAGGAAAAAAAGTAGATGGTGAATAAATTCTAAATATATTGAAACTATGAATGAAGATGGCAAAAAGAACCTCAAGGAAAGCTCTTGTTCAATATGAGGTTGAGAGGATCGGGAAAGAGAAAGAAATGGAGAGAAAATAATAGAGAAAGCAACAATAGAGGTTATTCTAATTAAGGCATATTATAATGACATCTGAAATAACATGGTGAAACTCCTTTATACAATTAATATATACACAAAAGAAACAGCATAACAGGAAAGTAAAATAGGCTCTATTGGGGGGAAAGCAGATAGAAGAGAAGGACGAATGAACATGGCAAGTGAGAAGAAATATGGTTCAAGTATTAAAGAGGGCAATAAGACCTGCTGAAATTATGAGAAAAGGGGTTAAGAGAAAGCTATAGAGGCGGTGAGTATGATCAGAGTATGTTGTATGCATGCATGGAAATGCCACAATGAAATTCCTTCTTTATAAACAATGAATATTAATAGAAATAAAGAAATAAAGGCTGGAGGTATGGCCCAAATGGTAGAGACTGTCTAGCAAGCACCAGATCCTGGGTTTAAACCCCCAGTACTGTCCTCTCTCCCCACCAGATACTGCTCTGCAACGAGATTATGTGTGTGTGTGTGTGTGTGTGTGTCTGTGTGTGAATGCATGTATATAATATTTATGTATGTACTTAGTATTTTCTCTAACATCCACAGTTCTTAGGGACTAGACATTATTAGCATTCTTTTATAATCTTGGAAACTGTGACATGGTGATATTACAGCCCTTGTTTAAGACCTTGGAAACAGTGACATGGTGATATTACAGCCCTTGTTCAAGAATTTGGACTATATAGTGAATTTTCCTATTGAATATATTTGATTCTCAAATGTGTGAGAACAGGCTTTGAGAATGGGCTTCCTCTAAAGACTAAAGGTTTTCTTTGATCTCAGTCTATTCTAGGTTTTCCTGTTGCATCCATTTAGAAATTACAAAGATTCTCCTCAGATGGCTACTCATACAAAAACGGAAAGAAGGCACAGGTGATTTGCTGATCTGCCCTCTGGACTTCTGCTTCTACGTGCTTCTGTGCTCTCACACTGCAGCCCAGTCATGATGGCTGCAGACGTTGGCGAGTTAAAGCAAAGCTAGACAGATCTTAATGGCTGTGTGCATTTCATGGTGAAGAGTTATTAGGAGATGCTGCAACAACAGCCTCAATAAAGAGAAGAAGTAACTTTGCTTTCCTTCTCCAAGGACAGGCAGCAAAGTAAAGGAATAAGAATCCTAGGAAAAGCAGCTTATGGCTTGGCTGCTGCTAGGAGCACCTGCCCTTATTTGAAGTGAAGGAGCTGCTAGGCTAGCTGGTGGTGACAAATGGCTGTATTAGGTGGGGCAGCTGAGAGGAGGGGAGATTCCCTTCTATGCTCTAGAGACCCATTACCTAGGTGTTCCAATGCACAGACCTCCTTCCCTCCCCTGGCATGTGACACACGATACAGGATGTGATGCACTGAACTCCTTGGTGCTCTATCTCCATTCAGAACCCCTGGACTATCCAGATAGACATCTCTGCCTCCTCCCCAGACTCCTGCATTTGTGGGCCCCTAAAAACCCCATCCAGTCCTTGAGGCTGAAATGGCGAACACAGCACGTCTGCAGTACTTTCTTCTCTCTCATTCAGGTTTTCAATAACCTATTTGTGCAAATATTACATAAAAATATTACTTAAAAGAACAGGTTCCTATTTTCAAATGTCTTCCTCTGGAGTCCCTAAAAAATTGTTAGCCAAGGTGATAAGCTTGTTACATAAATAAAACATGTTCTGGGTTTTATTCATCTGGGTTATACAGCAGACCTTTCGTCTATTTTTATTTTCAATTCCAAAGCTATATTAAAGAAAGAACATGCATATTCAAAACATGAACCTTAGTTCTGACAGCGATATTTCTGATTTCCAAATGAAGTGTGATGGATTCTCTCCAAATCACTTTCAATTGCTGCTTTGCTGCTGAGCACACAGAGCAATGCACTACTCAGCATATATCAGGTGCTTCCAAGGCATACCCCAAACGCTAAGTCCGGAACCTGTCTATGGCTGAACAATGCTGTCCAAAGGGAAACCCAAGACATAACTTCTTCCTTGGTCTCTAAAGGGACATGCTCATATCCAGAGCTTAGCTTATTAAATGCAGACATACAGGCATCAGCTGTTCAATTTAAGACATGTTGACAATTGCATACATGTCTTCTTATGTATACACTCCAAGCCAGACCCTGAATTCCAAAAATCATTTGGATTAGTTGACCCCATATTCTTAGTTCACATGACTAAATCAATAAGAGAGAAGGGTTGTTTAAAAGGCAGTATGGTTGGCATTAAGCCATACATCATGAAGTTCAGACATAATTGCTCTCTGCAGACCTCTTTCAAATTCACTGTATACAACTTTGGCCAAGTCATCTGGTCAATATGCAAGAAAAATACCTTTCCTGTCTTCCAGGAATTTTTACCTGTATTATACAAACTTTATAGCTACAGATAGACTAAGCCTTGAGCATCTCTTCT